AATTTGCCCAGCAGCTAGGAGGGGCCAGAGGTCCTTGATCAGAGGCAAAGCTATCCAAAAGACTTACCTCTCCAGTGGTTTTGGTGTTGATGCCACCTGGATGTCTAATCACCTTCACAAGGAGGCTTAGAGCTCACCAAGACTTCTTATACATAACAGACTTGATGTCTAACTATCAAGGGAAGGCATGGACAGTGATCTGAGCTGGGCTTGACCCTGAAGAGCCAAACCCCTAACTAACACAGTGGTTCTCCAGTTCCCCCGCACATTAGAACTCCTGGGAGTTTAAGTAAGCCCCATTCTCAGACCCACCAAACCCTTGGAATACTTGGGGGTGGGACCCAGGCATTAGTGATAGATAGACCTCCCCAGGTGATTTCAGTGTGCTTTGAACCTGGCTGCTCTCAGGTTAGCAGCCCGTTCCCAGCTGGCTTCCCCACAGCCAACCTCAGAAAACCTTCATCCTAATGCAGAGTTCCAGCAGAAGGACRTGGAGGTGTGCCTGTCCTCTCTAGATCTGTCTTAGGACTGTCTCAAGAGGACACCTCCTCCAAGGTTGAAGTCCCTACATGATAGTTCACCAATACACACACTTAAAAAAAACACAGCTTTATTAAGGTATAATCGACCAACTGTAGATTATATATCTATAATATATAAGTATATACATTATATATTATATATCATATATATAATATATAAATGTACAGTCTGACAAGTTCGGACATGGGTAAACATGTGAACCATAGCCGCAATCAAACTAATGAACATTTTCTTCAAGATTGAGCTGGAGCCATGCACAGTGACATGTGCCTATAATCCCAGTGACTCAGAAGGCTGAACCAGAGGATGGCAAGTTCAAGGCCGGCCTCAGCAACTTAGCAAGGCCCTATGCCACTTAGTGAGACCCTGTCTGAAAATAAAAAATAAAAAGTGCTGGGATGTGGCTCAGTAGTAAAGGACCCTTGGATTCAATCCCCAATACCAAAACAAACAAACAAACCAAAGAGTGAGCTGGAAGTGTCCTGTCCCATCCATGCTCCTGTTGCATGGTTAACACTCCTTCTGTGCCAGGGATTGTGCCAGTTGAGTGGGAAACAGCCTCACTGAACATAACCTCCCCTGGGGGAACTGACTACAAGATGACACAGTGGGACCCAAGAGGATGGGGAGAGGGAAGGGTGAGGAAAAGCTGGCCAGAGGAGATGGAAGGTATTTGTCTGGTGCTATGATTTAATGTGTGGTCCCTCCTTGCGGTATAAACCTGATATAAGTCAACTTGGAAGGAGAAAAGTTTTATTTGGCTCAGAGTTTCAGAGGTTCCTGTCCATGGTCACAYGGCCCTGTTGCTGGGGGCTCTTGGCAGCACCACATATTATAGCAGGAGCATGTAGTAAAACAAACTGCTCACTTCAGGAGCCAGGCAGCAGTGAGAGGAGGGGTCAGGGTCCCAATATCCCCTTCAAGGGCAATCGTCTAATTTCCTCGTAAAGTTCCACCAACTCTCAATACTGCCCTGGGCTGGTGACCGAATCTTTAACACAGGGGCCTTCGGGTGATATTTCCAATCCAAACTACAGCACCCCATTCATGTATCCAATCCTAATGTCCAATATGATGGCATTAGAAAGTGGGACTTTTGGGGTGATTAAGTCTTGAGGATGGAGCCTCCTAAGTGGGAATCATGCCCTTACAAGAGAGGCCCGAGAGACCCCTTGCCCCAGTGGGTGAGGTCACCATGAGAAGATGGCCATCCATGAAAGAAGCAGGTCCTCACCAGACACCAGATCTGCTGGCAACTGGATATGGGACTTCCAACCTCCAGAACCGTGAGAAAGAAATTTTTAACCATTTGAAAGCTGCCAGTCTTTGGTAGTTTATTATGGCAGTCTAAACAGAAGACCTCAGGCAGCTGAAGGAAAGCAGAGCTCCAGGAGGAGGGAAATCATGAGCAAAGCAGTGGAGGTAAGCAGGACAGGTGTGTTTAAGAAACAGCAGGTGGACAGAGGGCTAGCACTTGGGGGTCGGCTGGTGAGCAATGCCAGTGGGCCAGAGCCACATGCCCCGGGGTCTGGCTGATGCTATGAGCTGCGGCTGTCAGTGGAGGATGCAGGAGGCCCTGGGCAAGGGAGCACCCTGACCCGGTCTGCATCTTAGGCAGTTCACTCTGGAAGTCCTCCAAGGTTGTAGGACAATCAAGAAACCTTTGCAAAGGTACCATCGAGCAGAAATAAATACATTTTAGGCCATATTATATAGGAATCAAAAGCAACCAGGAATGAAAATCCCACACTCCAGAAGAGTTTCTCTTCCTCCAAACCACCTACCAAAGTTGAGGCCTTATTCTAATTATATCCACTGATGCCACGTGCTCACTCGTAAATCATTCCCTGTGATTTGGGCCAACCTCTGGAATGGGGAGCAGGATCGGACCCACTCAAAACACAYGGCTGCTTTGCCAAGGTGGAGGAGTAGGTTACATGGGGTGGCATCCAAAAAATGTCTAAAACTTAGTAAATATCATGTTGGGTAATTCAACAGCCCAATGGGGATAGCAGATGTCAACCACTCCAGTTTGTCATGTGTCATGTTTGCTATTTAAAATGGGACTCACCATGTGTATCACAAAAGCCCCAAATAAAGGAAAGGACACCATTTACCAAAGATATTTATTGTGTTACCTTTCATAATTAACAGTCAAGAACAAATAATAATAAAAAATAAAAACATTTTGCAAGGGGACTAGACATCAGACAATACACAAGAGCTCTTCCAACATTACAAAGCCTGCTGAACATGCTTGCCCTTATTCTTGGTGGCCACAGCTAAGCATCTGTCACCAGGACAGGCTGTGGCCCCTGTCCCTAGGGTGCCCCAAGCTGGCATCCCATGGTGAATATTTCTAGCCTAAGCCTTCTAATTAACATCAAAAGCTTCCTGGATTCACAAGCTGATAAAGCTGCAGGATGTGTCTTTCCTGTCTTGTTGGAGTGAGACAAGATTCTCAGCTCCTGGCAGTTCAAGGGTGACCAGGAGGGATAGAAGCACTGTCCCCATTCCCACCTGTCAGAGGGTGAACCTTAAAGGATGGCAACACCATGGGAACACCACAGCTGAGGAGTCAGAGCCTCCCAGGAAGAGGGAGGGGGTCACACCTCTGTGGACTCAAGAGCAACATTCTCCCAGGAATGAGTAATGGCAGGAGCTTTCCTCTAGATGGGAAATGCTTCTTGTTGCCCCACCTCAAATAAAACAAAACAACAAAAACCTCAGATCATTGTCTTAGTGTGTTGTACTGATTGGAGAAAATCATCTTACAAGTGCTAACAGCTGTTCTAGGTGCATTCAGTTTAATGTCACACTTCTCAGTGAGCGGTGTTCCAGCTTCAGGGAGGCAGTGGGTGTCAGGAGAGGGAGGCTGGACCTGCAGCGGGCCTCACTTCTTTATGTCTTTCCAAACACTCAAGGTAATGGCATGTACGTTGGGCCAAGGGCCGTGGAAGATTCCAAATTTTTATCATTCTAGACAGAAAAAGAATGAAATCAAACTCTAAGAAACATCCAATAAAAGCATACAAGAAAAATTAGATTCATAAATTATTTACATGATTTGAGATCGTCAGCCTTTCTCCTATTCTTTGTGTTTGTTTGTTGTTGTTGTTTTCAAGTTTTGTTTTATTTTGTTGTTGTTTTTGCAGTGCTGGGGGTGGGACCCAGGTGCTCTACCATTGAGCCACATCCCCAGCCCTCTCTTTGTTCTTTTAGTCACTTCTTCCCTTGCCCTGCTTCCATTTCCTATCTTTCCTGGTCCTTTTCTTCTCTTAATCATGGCCTCTTCTTGCATCTCAGTCCCCTTGTCACTCATTAGCCCAGAGTCTCCTCTCCCAGGTTTCCCTCTTTTTAACATTTCATTCATGCTAAGTGGTGCACCTATGATTATCCAATGCAAATCTCATGAGTACAGCTATTCTTCTTGAAAATCCTCCAAAGGGAAATAAGATATCATCTGCCTCACTGGCCTTATCTCTTTCGAAACAAGTTGAGTTGCCAGGGGTGGTGATGTAAGCCTGTAACCCAAGTGACTGGGAGGCTGAGACAGGAGGATCATAAATTCAAGGCCAGCCTCAGCAACTTAGGGAGACCCTGTCTCAAAATCAAAAATAAAAAGGGCTGGAATGTAGCTCAGGGGTAAGGCACCCTTGGACTCAAACCCCAGTACCAAAAAAAGAAGGAGGAGGAGGAAGGAAGGGAGGAAGAAGAAGAAGAGGAGAAGGAAGAAAAAAGGAGGAAGGAGAAGGAGAAGAAAAAGAAGAAAGAAGGAAGGGAGGAAGGGAGGGAGGGGCGGAGGGAAGGAGGAAGAGAAAGAAAATAAAGGACTGAGTTGCCTCAAGGTCTGTGGGAGGAGAGACTGGCAAGGATGGAGCAGGACTACCCTTATATCCAACAGCCCTTTTCTAGGCCTGGCCCAGGACCCAGGTGCTTCACAGCTGGGAGTTGGCTTCACAACCACTGGAATCGGAGCCATAGAAGTTGATAATTTAAAGGGGCCTTAAGGACATCTAAATTAAGTGGTTCTTTTTACATGTGAGAAAATAGAAGGCCTGAGAAGTTAAGTGTGGGTCGGAAGGCTCAGGGACAAGCCAGTGGTGGCTATTTACAAGAGCAGGGGGCTTCCTCCTCCATCTTTCTCTTTTGATTAAAAATGAAAACAAAACAAAAGCCCATGGAGCAGCCAGCCATGATTTGAGCAGGTTGCAGCCCTGGATTGAGGGGCCCTTATTCTGCCCTGGGGTATTTCATTCTTTTTTTTTTTTTTTTAAGTATTTTTTTTAGTTGTAGATGAACACAATATCTTCACTTTTATTTCTTTATTTTCATGTGGTGCTGGGGATCGAACCCAGGCCTCGCGAGGCAAGTGCCCTGCCACTGAGCCACAACCCCAGCCCCTAGGGCGTCTCAATCTGCAAAGCCAAAAGCCAAGTAGAAGGCCCTGGACTCACCTAGTAATCGGGGTGAGGCTGTCTCTTCTGGTTTGCGTAGGGGTTTTGGAAGTCTTTGGAAGCCATGGTTCTGACTTTGGGGAAGATGTTTCCATCAGCTCCGAGGTTGCTGAAGCCTGTCGACTGCAGTCTCAGATTTTGAAAGTCATTGTCAATCAAGATCTCTTCCTCAATATCACTCTTTCTGTTCTTTGACCTGTAATCAATAACAGGAATTAGGATCTAACAATGGCAGAGAGTTCCTCAAAGTAAATATTGATGTTCTTTCTTTAAAAATGTTCTTTAAATTTTGAAATGATTTTAAATTTACACCATAAGTTATAAAAAGATATACATTACAGAATTCTCATGTACCCATCACCTAGATTTCCCAATTGTTAACCCTAATGAATCCATGAAGAATAGGTTGCAGACCTGATGTCCCATCACTTGTAATAAATATTTTATTATTTCATTCAATGTAGATCCCCTACATTTAAGGACAGTCCCCTCATAAGTTCCAGGGCATGAATATCAGCTGACCCAATGTTACCATCTAATTTTACTAGCTTTCTTTAAATTTTGTCAAGAATTTCAGGTGGGTTTTTTTTGTTTGTTTGTTTGTTTTGGACACTGGAGATTGAACCCTGGGGCACTTAGCCACTAAGCCACATCCCCAGCCTCTTTTTTATTTTTTATTTTGAGACTCACTAAGTTGCTTAGGACCTTGCTAAGTTGCTGAAGCTGGCTTTGAACTTGCCATCCTCTTGCCTCAGCCTCTTGAGCTGCTGGCATGACAAGTGTGTGCCACCACACTGAGCAGAATATCAATAGTCTTAAACATACTTTTCAATTATTTATGGAAATCATATCCAAGTAGATCCAACATCTACAGAAACACCTTGGTGAATAAGATGAGTTCAAGGGGTCAAGGTCTTGAATTGAGAAATAGGGTCTGCTGTGATCTGCTATGGACCCCCCAAGGTCCTCAAGTATAAGTATTGAAAGTCAAGAGTAAGCACGTGCCATGAGGGAGGCATTGTCCCCAGATAACTCTGATGGTGACCCCTCTTTCCTTCCTGGTCCCCAGGCCTGGTCTTGCTTCTGCAGTACCCTGGACAGTGGGAGTGGACAGTGCGGACGTGGTCTGTGATGCTCACAGTGTACTTCCAGGTGTCAGTCACCTAAGCCTCGGTCACATTGGGAATGTCCCTCAGCCTGTGATCCTGATGGCCAGCACAGCCCATAGCAGGGCCCCTGCCCTTCAACACTCTCTTGTGTAAAGTGGCTGAGGAAAGGGCTTCCCTTCTCTACAAACTAGCAATGAAATTAAAAGCTGTGTTTCATTGTCAACAATCATGACTTTGTAGCTGGGTTAAGCAAGCGTGGCTCTGTGGCAGGAAGGAGGACTGAGCTTTGTGGCTCTCACGGGGCCACAAGCTTCCATAGCAACTCTTTTTTTTTTTTCTTCTTTTTTTTCTTTTCTATTTTTCCCCCAGTACTGGGGATTGAGCCCAGAGACACTTTACCACTGAGTTACATCACCAGCCCTTTTTAATTAATTTTTTTTTAAATTTCGAGATAGGGTCTTGCTAAGCCCCTGAGGCTGTCCTCAAACTTGTGATCCTCCTGCCTCAGCTTCCTGAATCACTGGGGTCCAAGACAATCAATCAATCCTCCTAAGAATAACCTTGCTCCAGACCCAGAAATGTTCTGTCTCTCTCTCTCTGGAGAAGGGAATATTGGAGACCAGGGGAATGAATGCTCATACAGCAAGTTCTCAGCTTTCATTCCTTATTACTGAGTCTCTGGGGAAGAGATAATATCAAAATGGAATACAAGGAAAAAGAAGAAATAAAGTATTTTAGGAACCTAAAATCCATTGATCCTCTCCAATTATAGTGGGAAAACACCTATTTTCCAAAATATAAGGTATGAGCTAAATGTTAGAAAAAAAAGTAGCTTTTCTTTCTTTCTTTCTTTTTTTTTTTTTTTTAGCAAAGTGGATCCCACTTGGCACATGTAAAAATGGAAAAGAGATAATAGCAATCTCTCTCTGCTGATAGGAGAAACTTCCACATACCTAAATATTTGTTGGAAAAATGAATGGACCCTACTCCACCTCCCTAAGGCACCAAGCTGAGAAACAGCCACACAGATACGGGTTTCTTCCTCATTAAACCCAGCGGGTTCTATGGGGGCTCATTTTAGACCATTTGTAGCAAGGTCCTGGGCATTGGAGTGACTTGGTAAAAATTGTATTTGACAGCATCAGTGGAGTTAAAGAACTGTCCACAGAATTCTTAATGACAGGAAAATGACTGCTATGTCCTCTGATGAAAAATAAACCTTAACAGAAATTTTTTAAAACACAAAGAATGCAACACTATGTATATAATATCTTTTACAGAACATCTGGAAGGATATATACTGAAATGTGAGTTGCCTTAGGATGGTGGGTTCGGTGGGTGACTTTTTTACTCTGCTCTTTTCCACATTTCTGTTTTTACGGTTTTCTTTCATGATCATGTATACTTACACAATCAGAAGAAAACTCAGGAAAGAAAAAATAAAGCGGCATCAGAGAGGCCTCCCCTCTATGTCCCCTCCCCTGCCCAGGAGAGGCCGGTGTGTTTAGAAACCAGAGTGTCCACAGGAAAGGGGAAATTCCATACCTTGTGGAGAAGACCAATGAAATCAATAAGGCGAGAATGAGGACGGCAGCGATGGTGCCCACAATAGTGAGGATCAGCTGAAACTCTGAAAGGAGGAAGAACAGAGTAGGAACAGGCTTCAGTAAACCACTCCCAGTGTCTATTGCTCCCAGGATCCTGGTTATGAGGATGATCACACTCTGGTCTCTGACCCCTCTAGTGCCAGGGTGGGTAGGTGGCTCATCTCCTTTAGCAGCCCTCCTCTAACCCACTAACCATGTCTTCAGGACTCAACCAGAACAGGCACCCTTGCCAGCCTCAAGAGCATAAATACAAAGGAGGCCGATAGCGATGGGGTCTTCCGGGGCTTTGTGAGAAGTAGGGTCTCAGCCTTTCTTCCCTACCTTGCTTCCTTTGCCTGCCCTCCAGTCCTCCCCTTACTCATAAGCTAGGGATTCCAGTTTTGGAGTTAAATTTGTCATACTGGATGCACCAGATAATATCTTGACAGCATCATTTGAGGAAAGAGTCTGTTGTAGTGTCATGGATACTGAAGTGTGGCTATAGGGTGACCTGAGTGCAGCCTACATACCAGATTCCAAACACTTACCATGAAAAGAAAGTTAATACTAATATTCCTATCTGATAACATTTTGAGATGATCAATGGAATTTTATTGGGTTAAATAGAATAAGTCAGTAAAATCAAATTCACCTGTTTCTTCTTACTTTTAAACTTTTGCTTGAAACTTTTAAAATTTATAATGAAATTTGCAACTCACATTATCTTTCCTTTTTGTCTTTGTGGTACAAGGGATGAAACCCAGGAGTGCTCTCCCTCTGAGCTACATCCCCAGCCCTTTTTATTTTTGATTCTGAGTCAGGGTCTTGCTAAGTTGCTGAGGCTGTCCCCAAACTTGTGTTCTTCCTGCCTCAGCCTCCCGAGTCACTGGGTTACAGGTGTGCGCCAAGTGCCCAGCTTCACATTCTCTCTCTATTGGACAGTACTGTCACTGTATCTTCCTGCCACATCACTGCCACAAATCCACCTGAAATTTGGGCCCACAGGGCCATAAACCACAAAATCAGGAAGAGACCAGAAAGGTCATTTGGTCCAAATGCCTCATTTGATAGATAGATGTGGAAATTGAAAGCCTAGAAGGAAGAAATGACAGCAAGTCTGTCTTTGTAAGGAAGTACAGTGGAAACTGAGAGCATCTCTCCGCACTACCTCTGTGGCTGGTGGTGAGCTGATGGGCATATTTCCTGCACCATGTACATTTTAAAATTGATTAAAATTTCAAGTTAGTATTGTCCCAATGTGTTGGCAGTAAAGCATAGGAGGAAATGAAGCGATCGAATTTTTCTTAACACAACCCATACCAGTAAATAATTCTGAGATGAAACTATTTGAACATTTAAATGTCTGGTGCCCAGGTCTGCTCTCCTATAGCCAGCAGTTTTGATATACATTTTTATCCATTCTAGTAGCAAAAACTTCATATTTCAGCTCCTGTAAGAATCAATTTAATGACTTAGGATGCCCTTCTCCGGGTTGGAGTAAGTTCAGAGGTACCAGCCCAATCCTTGGTCTGAGTATTATTATTATTATTATTATCATCATCTTAGTTCTATTATTTTTAACAGCAGAGATGCTGCTGTCCATAAGGGTGAACATGGGATGCATAACCCAGAAGACAAACTGCAAGCAGATTTTTCTCTTTGAAGGAAGTGGAGACTTTGGAGAACTGGACAGCCTCTCAAATATGGTGTTTATATGTGTGTGTGTTTTCATTGTAGATGGACACAATATCTTCATTTTATTTATTTATTTATATGTGGTGCTGAGACTCCAACCCAGTGCCTCACACATGCAAGGCAAGTGCTCTACCACTGAGCCACAACCCCAGCCCCTTAATGTTTATTTCTTGGGTGTGTAATAACTTATTTATAATAGCAAAACTCATACTCACGGTCTTTGCAGTCCACACCACCATAGCCAAATGGACACCTGGAATAGAGTGAGAAACAGGAAGCCATGTTCAAGAGCCCGTGTGGGGAGCACGCTGGAGTTCCCACCCACATCTCCATTTCTTCCTTTCATTCTGCATTCCTTTGCTCCTTCTCCTTCTCTCATCTTTCTCCCACTCCCTTTCTTCCAGGAGAGCACCATCCATGGGGCTCTGGAAGGATGAGTGGCATACAATCCTGGGTGGTCTCACTGGCTTGTGTTCTTCCTGCCTCATCTGAACTCCAGGCAGACTCAGCAATTCAGTTAAAGTTGAACCTAAAAGTTATGGTGTCACCTTGCAAGGGGTGACACCACAGGGTGCTGCCACCTGTTTGCTCCCCTGTGAGCAAGGGCATGTCATTTATATTCAGTTTCAGGTCCCTCATCTGAAAATAGGTAACTGATAAGCTTCTGATAGTTGTTATGTGATTGGTACTCCCTAGTGTGGTTCCTGGCACCAGGAAATGTCAGCAGCAGCTTCATACCTCCTACCCTACACCAGCTCCCCAACTTCCTGAGTCTAAGCCCATATATGTTGTAAGATCTATCCTCTCTGCCTAGCTCCAGCTATGGCAAAGTAAAAATGGAGAGATTTCTCTTACGCTTGACAGACGTCATTAGCATCTCTCTCGAAGTCTGGCAGGCACACGCATTGAAGCTCTTTGTTCTCCTTCTTTATGCATTGCTTATTAAACTCCGAACTGCAGTTTGCAGAACACTCAAGAGCTTCAAAACAGAGGGATTTATAGGTAATTTTCAGAAACAATCTCTTTAACCCCAATGTACATGTGACAACACAGATTTTTTTTTCACATTGCTTTTTCTAAGTAAAAGGAAGTACCCCTTGGCTCCACACATGACAAGCTGCCCACGTGCTGCTTCACCCATTCCCCCACCCTGGCCATAGGTCTAAAGCCCAAATTCACATTACTCAGTCACTGGAATGCACATGGACATTCAAGCAGTAACATTTGTACTTTGCAAACGCAAAAGGTGGCGGGAACATGAGCATTGAGAAGAACATTTAGAAGTGGGTGGAACACTTACGAAGACAATATGGGGACAGCATGTTGGGTCTCTGCAGCCCAGGTTTGCATTCACATTGTAAACTATTGCTGCAATCTTGATCCTTCTTCACACAACCATAAAATTCACATGAATCTATAGCTGAGAGAGGCCAAACAATTCAAAAATATATTCAGCAAGATAGTAGATAATTTGTTTGTTTTTTTTTTAAAGAGAGAGAGAGAGAGAGAGAATTTTTAATACTTATTTTTTAGTTTTCGGCGGACACAACATCTTTGTTGGTATGTGGTGCTGAGGATCGAACCCGGGCCGCACGCATGCCAGGAGAGCACGCTACCACTTGAGCCACATCCCCAGCCCGATAGTAGATAATTTGTGAAAACACTCCTTCCCCCCATTGTTGTTGTATTTTTCTTTTAATACATTTTGGGATTTAACAAATGAAAATCTGGGATTCTGAAACCTGGCCCCCCCCATCCTCTCTTCATTATTCAGTTTAAGTTAATTCCATCCAAGCAATAAAGCTCAAGTTCAAAATCTCTTCMGCACCTTTCTCTGTGCTAGGTTCCCCCAGAGCTGCTGAAGCCATCTATTAGGCTCCATCTTTATAGAGTCACAGAGTCACGTCAAGCAATACACAATTCAGCTCTAGGCTTTGTGGTTCAGACTTCAAAGGCAAGAAGAATTTAGTGGCTCAAATAGCTCAAGATAACAACACAGGGAAGGAGGAAATTGAATAAGTCTTTAAAGATAGGAAGATTTGAACAACCAGGGAGAGGCAAAGTCTGTTTAAATGGAGTAAACAGGCATGAAAGGGAGCCCTGATTTCTTGTCAGGGGGCAGCGAGCTGTGCTTGTGGTAAGGAGAGGGAGTTTAGAGAGGTGGAGGAAAACCCAGAACCGATGTCTTTGATGTTTATTGGTTGCAGGTTCTCTATTCAATATTTGATTYGGGGTGAGTCCAAGTTCCCTCCATCTATAAGGGGGATAATAATACTTGTTCCCCCTGATTATGAGGAGAATGGAGTGAGCTAGTGTAAATGACAGTGCCCTTGCCAGGTTCTTCAACAAATCTCATTGTCTTGTTCATTCATAGGTATAGCAGAGTTTGGATGTCAGGTTAAAGACACCCAATTTGATTCTATAAGCCAAAGAATTCTTTGGTAGATTTTAAGCAGGAGCCTGGCATGAGAAAGCAATCCTTTAAGAATGTTAGCATAGCTGGGGGTGGGGGTGCACGCCTGTAATTCTAGCAGCTTGGGAGGCTGAAGCAGGAGGATTGTGAGTTAAAGTCAGCCTCAGCAACTTAGCCTAAGCAATTCAATGAGACCCTGACTCTAAATAAAATAACAAAAAGGGCTGTGGATGTGGCTCTGTGGTTAAGTGCCCTGGATTCAATCCCCAGTACAAAAAAAAAAAAAAAAATGTAGGGCATTGCATAGCACATCATGCCCAGCACTGAAGGCCAGAGATGGGTGGGCAGGAAGAGTAGTCTTGAAGTGGACTGGCAAGCTTTAGGGATAAAAAGATGAATTTGAGAATGGATTTGGAGGAGAGAATAAATGCAGGTAGAAAAGTGATGTGATTGCTCTCTAAACATCTCAAACTGTAACTGACCTTCCTTCCTCAACTGCAACTTAAAAATAACTCCAGTTAAAATCTAGAGAATGAGAATCTACACCTTTGGGCACAGAAGAGACCATCTACTTTTGCCACCGAGTCTGGACAGCAGGAAAAGTTGTCTTGCTCTTAAGAGTTAYGAGGCTCTCACTTCCACGTGGCTGGCTGGTTTGTTCTCGAAGCTACCTCGAGATGACACCATTTGGCATTTTGTCAGTGTGTTTAGGAGGGAATGCCTGGTTTCAGAGTGGAAGAAAGTATTGAGAGGTGTTGTCTAAATAGCAACTTTCAGGGCTAGAGCCAAATGGTTTCAAGTATGTCAGGACTGGTAGCCAACACAATCACTCTTCAAAGTCCAAACAAGAGAACTGCATGGCGACCCCAACATTATCTTGAGAAGCGCACAGGTGTTTTTAGCTGGCAACCACCCTGAGTGGTCAGTATGCATGCTGAAGGGGACCCTCAACTTCTTCACACTTGTTGCAAGTCTCATCTAGTCAAAAGCAGAGTGTGCTAAAGGATCTGATTGCTACTCTTAGCCAAAATCCTAACCCTTACAAAATGATTGGCAGGTAGAAGAGATGGGCCTCTTAGGAGATAAGGACCAAGAGACGGTCAGAGAGAGATGCAAGGGAACAGACAGATGCATACTGTAGACTTGGAGAGACAGTAAATATTGAAACATTCAGAAAGAAAAAAGTGCTAATTCCATGGCATGCAATTCTGGAAGAAGAAAATAGTTCAAGAAGGTGAAAAGCTTTGAAAATGTAAATTCTCAATGTGCAAGCTACAAAAAGACGCTGTAGAAACTCTGGGGCTTGCAGGAAGGAGATAATGTAAAAACTAGTGTTATTTTCACAGGAAGCTCTCAAATGAGAAAAAACAAAGTACAGAAAGAGGGTCCCATCACCAAAGATGAAATATTTAAAAATGTGTCAGAGAAAGTTGAGCCTCAGATGACCTCAGGCTTGCCACAAACATAATCCAAAATAAAGCAACAACAAAAAAYTCCAATGACAAAGTAAGAAGGGTTAAAAGGTTTCCCTTTTAGTGAGCAAATAAGTAGAGGGATGGGTGTGTCTATGGGAGGGGTAAGTGGCTTATGGGAAGGCCAGGGCTGACTCATGTATTGTTGAGAGAAGATATGAAAAAGACAGAATAGCTCCATGACTGTTTTTCTCCAGTCTCTTTTGCAAGGAAATTATATTTGTTTTATTATTTTTTTATTTTTTTCACCGCRATACCTTTATTCTAGTTATTTATTTTATGTGGTGCTGAGGATTGAACCCAGGGCCTCACACGTGCTAGGCGAGTACTCTACCACTGAGCTACAGCCCCAGTCCTAGAAATTATATTTAGCTGGAAAAGAATTGAATGGGTGTTGTTAAAAGGCAATCGGACCCCAAGATGGAGGTACAGAAAAAGAGCCCCCATATTTTCCAATCAGTTATAAGAATTTTATCACAGAGCATTTATAACTCCAAGCCCTGGGACATTGTGAGAATCATTGTAAAAATCTCGAGGAAAGAGAAAAAGTGTTAGAAAATTATAAGTGAGCAGGATTTGTATTTGCAGAAACAGAAATGAGTTTTACAAACAAACAAGGTCAGGGAGGTTACAATCACTAAAAAAAAGTAAAAGAGTAGGGAATGAATGTTGGACAAAAAAGACAGATGAGTCTGAAGGAGGCAGGAAGGGGGTTGGGAGAATGGTGGGTGGGGGCTCAGGAAGAAGGGGACTAGAAGAAGAGAAGGATGTTGGTGTCAAAGGCTACAAGGAAATTAAATTCACTGTGGCTCAACCAAGGCCTCTGGCAACAGGCCTAAACAGCACTTGTATCTCCACGGGGGCTGGCCCTAAYGGTCACTTCCAAGGAGAGGAGTTTCTGATGGCTGCAGGGGTGGGTTGACTGCCTTTCTGACTCTGTGCCCTTCCGTAGGGCCCTTCCATGCTGGATTTGGTCATGTGAATTGCTCTGGTCATTAGGACAGTTGTAAATGCAATGTAAGCAGAGACTGGAGAAACACATGTGCACTGAACTCTACCCTCTTGATGCATTAATCCCTGTAGACTAGCCTSCTGGAGGAGGAGAGACCATGTGGAGCAGAGAGGAACCACCCACAGAGCCATCTGAGATCAGCCAGTCTCCAACTGATCCAGCAGCTAAAGGCAGATGCTTAAGCAAGTCTAGCAGAGATCCGTCAAGCCTGGCCTAGGCCAGCAGAACTTTCCAGTGGAGCCCATATCAAGTTCTGACCCACAGAATTATGGAGTTGCAAGAAATAAATGGAGGTATTTTAGGCCAGCCACTAGGGTTTGAAACGTTTGGTGACATGGCAAGTGGGAGTTGTTACAGTTACCCATGCATCAACCTAAGGGGGAAACAGTATGGGTGAAGTTTTCATAATATTTAGAAAACTATAACTTGGCTCAAGCCTTCTTATTCTTTCTCTTCTCATCTTTCCCTGTCCAGAGATGATGTGTGTGGTCATTTATACTTTCCAAGGGAAGAACAAATTTATTGGTCAGTTGATGACTTGGAGATGGTTAGGAAACTGGAGAAGGTAAGTGAGAAGAAGGGAAAGGGAGAAAGAATGGACTAATTAAAAGGAAATTTGGAGACACCTGATGATTCACTTCTATAGTCCTTATCCCCTCCTCACATTTACTGTAATGTAAAGGTTTACCAAAGTGTAAGTAGAACTCCAGGTAAAATTCGAGGGAAATTATTTAATACTTACGATTATAGCTTTGTRTAAGATTGCTTTTCTTGACTGCCTTCTCAATCTCATCATTTACATCTTTTTCAGTTAGAGTTGTATTCTCTTTTAAAATGTTTATTACTGAAGCATCAACAAGCTTCATATCAGCACGCATTTCAGATCTTCCTGACAGAGAAGGGCGTAAGCTAAAAATGAAACAAATCTGTCAACTTGATGAATTGAACTGAAGGGTCAACAAACAGGTCTTCTAACTTCCTAGAGGCACAGATCTCCCAGCCCTAGTCCTGACGCACTGTCCAGTCTCCACAGTGGGTCCTCAATATGGAGGCCCAGAGCCATATACCAGAAGACAGCAGATTTGCAGCCTGGAGGTCTGTATGTGTTCAGAGGAAGCCCATGGAAAGAATTATGTCCTCTTGGAGTACACTTAGGAAAATTGTTGGTATTCGTTTTTGACAAAATAATGGTCAACTATTTTTAGGATTTAGGAGCCTGGAGCTAACTACAAGTAGAACAAGTAACATCTGAAATAGTAAATTGTCATTTTCGGTAGAACAAGGCTACGTCTCTTAAAAGCTAAGTGCAGTGACACGCGCCTGTAATCCGGGTACACAGGAACCTGAGACAGAAGGATCACAAGTTCAAAGTCAGCCTGGGCAACTTGGCAAAGCCCTGAGCAACTTAGCAAGACCCAAACTTGCCCCTATCTTTGGTGGCCCAAGGCCAGTCATAATTTCTCCGAGCCTGAGTTTTCTCTTCTATTTTTTTTATTTATTTTTTTATTTTTTTTTATTTTTTTAAGAGAGAGTGAGAGAGGAGAGAGAGAGAGAGAGAGAGAGAGAGAGAGAGAGAGAATTTTTAATATTTATTTTTTAGTTCTCGGCGGACACAACATCTTTGTTGGTATGTGGTGCTGAGGATCGAACCCGGGCCGCACGCATGCCAGGCGAGCGCGCCACCGCTTGAGCCACATCCCCAGCCCATGAGTTTTCTCTTCTGTTCCAAGAGAAATTTGAAGGAGAGAAATTCTGAGTATCCTACTAAGACTAATGTTTGTAGAGTAGTAGAGAGTTTGAGCTGGAGTTTAAGAAATGTCTTCATAGGCAAGACCTATGAAGGCCTGAGCAATGGCTCTGGACCCCTCCGTGACCCTGGAATAACAGGGAAAGGTTTGCCTCTTATTGCTCATGGTTCCCTTCTAGTAACTCCTGAAGAATAAAAGGAATGCTACAATTTGGGGGACTCCCCCCCCCCCAGATGATCTTATGGGACCCAGTCTCCATGACACTGCAAGGTCCCATTTTTTTGAAAAGGAAACAGACCAGTGTTGAAATCAACTATGTGCAAGGAGTCTTCCCAATGTTATCTCATTGACTCCTCACCAGGTGCTGGGAGGAGATAACAAAGGTTAAAACACCTGAGCTGTCATCCATTAAAGAAGTGCTAAGGCCAGGATCAAAGCCCAGGTTTTGCTGATTCAGCTGCCCCTCACCATTCTTGTTTCCAACCAGTCATCCTCTACACAGGAAATGGCTGTCATCCACTAAACCAAGCCTAAAATCCTGGAACAGTTTGTAGTCCTCCAGCTTCAGAACCCTGTGTTTGGGCCCAACCTTTCTGCTCTCTGCCAGCTTCTGACCATGCAAACTCTGTACCTCTGTCTGCCAGTCAGACTTGCCCCCAGGCAAGACCCAGCTCAGAATCTACCACCTTTAGGAAGACTTCTCTGATTTTTTTTGGTTTGTTTGTTTTGGTACCAGGGATTGAACCCAGGGGCTCTCAATCGCTGAGCCACATCCCCAGCCCTTGTTTGTATTTTATTTAGAGACAGAGTCTCACTGAGTTGCTTAGCACCTTGCCTTTGCTGAGGCTGGCTTTGAACCAGTGATCCTCCTGTCTCAGCCTCCAGAGCCACTGAGATCACAAACATGTGCCACCGCACCCGGCTCTCTGAAACTTTTAATGCATATACATACCCTCAGTATCTTTGGGGGAATTGCTTCCAGGACCCTTGGAAGGAGTCGCCTGGTGGACACTCAAATCTGAAAGTGCTCAAGTCCCTTATATAAAATGGCCTGGTATTTGGATATAAGCTATAGACATCCTCTCATATTCCTTAAATTATCTCTAGATTATTTATAATACCAAATGCAAAGTAAATGCTATGGAAATCACTATTATTCTACATTGTTTATGGAATGATGACAAAGTCAGTGCATGTTCAGTACAGATGCAATTTTTTTTTCAAATATTTTTATCTCCAGATGACTCCTCAAATGTATAATCCACAGATACAGAGGCCCAGCTGTCTATATGTATACTGTATCTTATTCCACAAAGGATTTGACATAACTCACAGAATAAACACAATTTAAAAAACTTCAAACATAAATATTACACTGTGCTTCCTTTTCTGCACAACTTCATTCATCTCAGAGCATTCTTTCCTTGGCCTGACTACTTGCATATTAATATGCATTAAAGAACACAGATAGAATTGTTAACTTCCTGAGAATCCTCTGCCTTTTCATGTCTCAAAATAGCACTGAGTATTTGTCATTATATATTGCAGTGCACAAATAAGTGCTGTTCTTAGAGCAGGAAGAGCTCACTATGGGCCCTTCAGAAGTCAGGTGTGTGATCCGAGTGTCCTCGTCCCCCTCACAACCCCATATGAGAGAGGAGATGACCATGAGCCACTTCTCCTTCCCCGGCATCCTGGAAAGCACATCCCAAGGACTGACTAAGTATGGTTTGCAGCTGAGGGGATTAGACCAAAAACTGGTGCTGATGATGCCTGGGACCACGTGCTCCAGTTGCTAAGTAGCCATGAGCATCCTCCTTCTCCAGGCCATACCCTGCCTGTCCTGGCCAGAATCAAAGGCAAGGCGAGGGCTGGGGCTGGGGCTCAGTGGCAGAGCACTCGCCTAGCATGTGTGAGGCACTGGGTTTGATCCTTAGCACAGCACACACAAATAAATAAAATAAAGGCATGCTGTCCATCTACAACTACAAAAAAACCAAAAAAACAAAAAAACTCAGGAGCAATGCACAAAGCCCCCTTCTTGACTTCGACTTGCCACCAGAGGGCCTTAGTGTCACATGAGGAACTCAAGAGAAGACCAAAAGTGAGGCAAACACACACTGCCTCCAAAGCACCCCTTTGGTCCATAGCAAACTTACCTCATTTGAAGAATCACAGTCTGTCCGTAATCAGAATGGCCAAATACATTTTGAAACTGTGGCAGAGAACAGATTTAAAAACAAGTTGAAAAAAAATTAAATATATATGGTTTATCACAACAAATTATTTATTCTTTGCTTGCTAACAGTAATCTTTGCTATGAAGTAGCAAGAGTCTAATATAACTCAGAGTTACCCAGGAAAAAGATGGAAACCTAAAACACTTAGCCAAATCAATTATCTTACTCTTAAAAATAAGGTGACTGGTTGGGGTTGTAGCTCAGTAGTAAAGTGATTGCCTAGCATGTGTGTGGCCCTGGGTTTGATCCCCAGAACTGCAAAAAAAAAAAAAAAAAAAAAAAAGGTGACTTATTTTGACTTAAGTTTTGTGTATTCGTTAGTTTTATCTATATATGTGCTTCATGCATTTATCGATTTATCCAAGGAACATATATTTGCCTCCCTTGCCCAAGGCATTATGCTAGGGGACATTATGCTAGGGCTCTCTCAGTCTTGTGATCAGGTAGGGGAGCATGCTGTGGAGTTGAGAGAGGCAAGCGCCATAGAGATACCTGGTTTTGTAAGCCTGTCATTCCAAAGAAATCTCTTAATTCCAAAGAAACGCTTGAGAAATTAGTATCTAATATGAAAGAAAATGTGTTTCCTCTTCTTTTTTTCCTTCGATGTCATTCTCTGAGGAAGCATCTCCTAACCTGTGGCTGCCAGGTTGGGCAAGAAGACAGGAGCTGTCCACCCAGGCCTGCTGRCACCACAGTCAGCAAGTGAGAAGAAGCAGAGGCAGTCCTGTGGGCAGGCAGCTCTGGGTTCAAGTCTCAACCTCCTCCACTAATCAAATGGATGACCTTCAGTCAGTAACTCACCTTTCCTGATCTTCAGTTACCACATCTGTAAAATGGGCATAATAGTACTATCTCCCCTGCAGGGCTGTTTTCAGAATTAGGATCATTGCCTGTAGAATGCAAAAATAGCCCCCCATTGAGAAACCCCAAACCCCTCTGCAGACTGCCCAGTTGGTCTGTTTTTTACCCTAACAGGTAAAAAATCATGGCCTGATCTGGAACTGTCCCATAAGTCTATTAAGACAGCCCTGAAGAAATTAGGTTGTCTCAGTTTTCCTAACTCTGCTCCAGGGGTTTCGAGGGAGTTCTGGTATATCCCTTTTGGATTAAAGATCCCTTTGAAACTATGAGAATGCTCCATCTCTTTACTGGTTCCTCCAGGAATATCCAGCCTAGGCTGAGCTCAAGTCTGTAAACTGACTTGGAAGACCAGGGGACAAGCCCTGTAAAGTGGAGAAGGCATGTGTGACACTCAGACCCAAAGCCAAATCTGGTGAACGTGGTGGCCACAGCAGTAGTGCTCAGTAAAGCCACTTGAGGCAATCTGAAGGTTCCCTGGTAGTAGGACCATGATGCTACAATATATGAATAGCACCTAAGCTGGCAAATTTGGATGCAGATCCAAGATAACAGGGCAAGTCACTGCAAGATGGCCCATCATGCAGAGGTGGATGGAAAGGGGCAGGAGCAAAATTGTGACAGAGAGGCCATGGGTTTTAGCATTGCTAGGTACTGGCTGTGCAGCCAGGAACACTAGCTCTTGCTGCACAACCTGTGGAATTGTTTCAATAATAATTTTTTGTRCTTTTTCAGTTCTAAAATAATACCAAATCCTTTTGTATTGATATAATTTCAAGTGGAAAGATATTATCATAGAACAAGAATTTAGTCTTTAAAAGTATTTTTCTACAGACCAGGTTGTGGTGGTACCTGCCGGTCATTCCAGAGACTAGGGAGGCTGAGGCAGGAGAATCACAAATTTGAGGCCAGCCTCAGTAATCATCATCATCATCATCATCATCATCCTGCCTCAAAATAAAACATTTTTGTTTTGTTTTGGGCTGGGGATGTAACTCAATGGTAAAATGCCCTGAGTTTCAATCCCCAATAACAAAACAAAACAAAACAAAACAAAATTAAAGTTTTTTTTTCTTTTTCCCCAACTAGAGACCTAAGAAATACTTAAGGCTGGTATTATTCCCTTTAAAATTAAACTTTGAGAAATATTGGTGGGATGTTGCCTGCAAGTTCTTCCTGGCCTAACACATGATTCCAGAATAGAGATACCCGCTCTCTCCATGCCCACACCCTACACATAAGAATCTAACTGAAAAGAAACTGATTCATTTCAATATTTTTGACAATGGAAAGAAAATATAACACTTATAAATTCAGATGTAATCACTCCTATAATTTTTTTTAAAGCCAGACTAGTACAGAAATACATGCAAATTTGAATGTGAAAAGCCAAAAAAAAATCTTTAATTTTTTTCTCTCCATGATGTGGAAATTTTATTTTATTTTTTTTCAGTGCTAGACATTGAACCTAGGGTCTCATATATACTAAGCAGGTATTACTGAGCTACAATCCCAGTCCAAAATGATTATTTCTTTATGCATTTTTAAATTATTTATAGTACTGGAGATTAAACCCAAGGCCTTTCTCATGCTAGGAAAGTGCTCTACCACTAAGATACAWCCCAACCCACTCTGAAATAATTTATTTTAAGACACCACTATATTTCCTGTCCATTTAAAACTATGGCAGGAGCAGGCTTCCCTAGACCCTCTGCCTTGCTAGCTGCTCTGCCTCTAGGTACAAGCCCAGCAGGGAGGTCCCAGGGCCTCAGGAAGGGGATCTGAGCAAGAGGGCAGTGGTAGTAGCTGCCCACCAACCAGGAGGGGTATGTTTCACTATTTAACAACTGACACAACTGTCCCAGTGTGTCCCACATGAAGACCAGTCCCACACTCTGTAGCTCAGCATGAGAACAAAGAACACTTCTACAGAAAGGACTTACAGAAAATACTTACGAAGCTAATTATTTCATCATGTAAGTGTTCATAGCCTACAGAATTCTTATTGTCCAACCCAGTTGTATTTAGGACTCGTACTGTAATCTCTCCAGGGAATGTCTTTCCTGAAAATCAAGCAGAATCTTTCTGTACTATTTAACACAAAGAGAGTCATTTCCAATTTGTTATAAAACATTGATTATTATTATTTTTTAATTGTTAACATTACATGATGACACTACAGGAAGACTATAAGTATTTTTAAAAAATTACTCATCATACCCCCTAACCTAGCATGGCCATTTTCATTTGGTATATTTCTTCCCCCCTCCACCYCTCAAGGTTTACATGGTTATAATACCAAGTTTATAACATACCTCACTTTTACTCATTATTACATCAACAAGTTTTTCAAATCATTTTCTCATCTTCATAACTACCATTTTTAAAGTCTACGTAACATTCTATAAAGTATATGTCCCCTTTGCTGATGTGGTCATTTGTGGTGGTAGTTATTGGACTTGGCACTTTTCACTGTGTAAAGGGCAGGGGGATGGTTGCAATGGACATCTTTTTGCATAAGCCTTTTCTRGAGTCATTTACTTAGAGCGGATTCCCAGAAATAAAATTCTTAGTGCTATAAATATGGATTTTGTTTGGCTTTTGGCATATCCCTAACTCCTGTGGGCAATATAATGCATTCATTTCCTATATAATATTTCTCATTTATTAAACAGAAAAAAAATGTGTATTTCAGACAGACAGGCCTTGAGSTGCAGAGCAACCAGGTCATCTAACCAGAAACATATGAAGGTAAAAGTATATTGTTGTGTCCTCAAAAGTTAATTTCCAGAGCTAGAAGGCTGTTACACTCTAATAGGGGGCTTTGCTATCAAGAAACAAGCAAATCCTGTGCCAGAAAACTGAGCCACAGTCACAGACCAGACTTCCAAGCCATGTCACCTTCTTCTGCTGTCCCCTTGTTGTAACAGGGCTTTGTAGACTAACACTTCATAGTTGTCTGGTCTTTCAGTAGTTTTCCAGGGGCTTCAACAGTTATCACTTCATTTTGTTGCCACAAAAGTTTCCCTCCAACAGCAGATGGCACCCCTGACCCTTAGGCCTACCTCGCAAATCTGACCTGGTCCCTCTCCTCTCCTATTGAGTCACCCAGGACAAAGGAGACCCTTTCCCTATTTGTCTGGCCTTGGTTGCCTCCAATTCTCTTCTGCCTCTCATATTCTGGAGCCTCTGTTTGCCATGGTTTTGAGTTTTCTATTCCACTTTAGGTAGGAGATGGAGCCCTGCCCTGGCACATCCTGGCCACTCACCTTTCAGACATGAGGAAATGCCGTAGTAATACCCTTCCGCACACAGGCAGAACGTGTTGTTATGCAGGTTAACGCAGGCAGCACCACCTCCACAGGGTCTTACTTGGCAAGGATCCCTGGAAACTTAGATGGAAGAAAGATATTAGAAGTCCACAGAAATGACAGCAAATAACATTTAGAAACACAGTGGTCAATCCTCATGCCTCCCTCCTGGGTGGTCTCCATTCCCGGGCTGTGTGACTCCACAGCACACTCTTAAGAGAGCTAGAAACCAATGCAGTTTTTTGTCTCTGGGGAGTTTGGTGCTGAAATTTGGGGCCAAGAGCTTATCAATGGCAAAGATTACAGGTTGGTGGACAAAGGCCTGCTTGAGGAAGAAAGAGAAATCGATAGAGCCTTCTAATTCCCAGGAGTTGGGAATCTTCAGATTTCCAGGACCCTCCAAAACCTCAGTACCTGGTTCTGTAATGCTAAGTCAGACCCCCCCCAAAACCATTTGGATAAAGGGTCATTTTTTTTTTTTTTTTAAGGATGGCGTGAATGATTGCTTTGTAGGGAGGGAACACTCAAGAAGCTCCAAAAAGGAACTAGATGTCCTAGTCTGGCTACCATGCCTGGTGTACATATCCATGAGGAAAGGAATGAGATAGTAAAGGAGGAAACATGGATGAACCCAGGGGACATTCTAAGGGAGGTGGTGAGGGGACACTTCAGCCTCTGGCTTTCTGAGTGGATGCCTTGAAAAATGGTGAGAATAATATTGCAATGGCTTCTGTGCCAGTGGACAAGACTCCTGGGCCAGGCAGGGTACAGTGTCTTCCTTCTTTCCAAAGAATTGATGAGATCTGAGGAGGGAATTTCAGTGAGGGGCCAAATGTTGATCTTGGTTGGCCAGCTTCTTCACTTCCATCAGGAAGAATTCTGAATTTTGATATCAGGATAGCTTAAGTGTTTGATACCCTTTGGAGACAGCTTGAGATTCTTAAAAACCTATGGTAGATAGGCTAGTTGGTTTTTAAAAAAGCTATACACAAGTTATATGTGTGTGTGTGTGTGTGTGTGTGTTTGTGTGTATAATATGTTATGTGTAACATACTTTCTTTTGTGATTAAAAAGGGGACACAAACACACAAATATATATGCTTTGTATTTGCATAGATTATTTCTGGAGGAAGACACAAGAAATTGGCCACTGAGGGCTTAGAGGTTTAGGATAGAAGGGAGATTTTATTTTTATTGCACATATTTTGCCCTGTTGGAGCTGCTTTTTTGATAATCATGATCCTAATTTACTTTATTAAAAAAAAAAGACAGCTGGGCACAGTGGTATAGGCCTGTAATCCCAGCAATTCAAGAGGCTGAGGCAAGAGGATCACAATTTGAAGGCCAGCCTAGGACTGGGGATGGGAGAGCACTCCTAGGTTCAATCCCCAGTACCAATAAATAAATAAATAAAATTTAAAAATTAAATGGCTTCCCAGTGTAGCTCAATGGTAGAACACTTGCCTAGCATGCCTGGGACCCTGGGGTTTGATCCTTCAGATGGCAAAAAGTAAATAAATAATTAAATAATGAATCAAACAACTCTTGGTGGAGTTCTCACCAAGAACAAGAACTCTCATTCTTTGTCAAAGGAAGTGTAAAATGTCAGCTACTTTGGAAGAYAATTTGGCAGTTTCTAAACATGCTCAACATAAGATCGAACAATCATGCTCCTTGGTATTTACCTAAAGGAGTTAGAAACATGCTCACACAAAACCCTGCACATAGATGTTGACAGAAGCTTTTGATTCATGATTACCAAAACTTGGAAGCAACTGAGATGTCCTGTAGTAGGTAAAGGGATTAAACTGTGGTGCATCCAGGCACCAGATCACTATTCAGCACTAAAAAGAAATAAGCTATTGAGCCATGAAAAGACAGAGGATGTGCATGTTACCAAGTAAAAGAGAGTACAGAGGACTTTCAGGGCAGTGAAACTACTCTATATGATACTCTAATGATGGACAGCTGTCATTAAACATTTATCCAGACCCATAAATGCACTAATGTAAACAACGCTCTTTCTTAATGATGTGTCAATGTAGGGCCACTATTGTAACCAATGTACCCCTTTGGTGGGCGATGTTGATAACACACATTCGTAGGGGCAGGGGGTATGTGGGAGACCTACATGCCTTCCTCTCAATTTTGCTATGAATCTAAAATTGCTCCGAAAATAAAACCTAATTTTTTTAAAGGGAGAAGAAAAAATATAGGCTATATGGGACAAAAGGAGGCACATTCATTACCCCATAAACAAGAGTAATCATCGCCCCTGTAATAAAGCATGAACCAGAATTGGGTGTGGGGGCGCATGTCTATAATCCTGGTGCCTTGGGAGGCTGAGGCAGGAAGATCAAAAGTTCAAAGCCAGCCTCAGCAACTTAGTGAGGCCCTAAGCAACTTAGCAAGACCCTGTCTCTAAATAAATCATTAAAAAAAGAAAGGGGGTGAGGGCTGTAGATGTGGCTCAGCAGTTAAGCAACCCTGGGTTCAATCCCTGATACAAAAAAAAAAAAAAAAAAAAGCCTCAGACAAATTTCAAGGAGAATTTGGAAAGTCCTAAGGAAGAAATTGAGTGCAGTTCCTTTCTGGAGATACCAGACAAGTCATTCTTGGTGTGCTCTCTCTGCAACAATGAAGGATAGGCTTGTTAGCTTGTTCTGTAGTCAGGAATTGATTAAGTCACAGGATGTTACAGCTGGAAGGGATTTTGGTGACAATTTAGTTCGGTCACACCTTATTACAAATGAATACCAAGAAAGACATGATTTGCCCCATATGCCACACTTTGTGGTGGGCCAGGACACAGAAAACTGCCTTCWTCTGAGAGGATGTTTGGGGAAGCAGAACAGCTCAGAGATGCTTCCTTTCCTGATTGTACTAGAGCTGATGGTGGAGCTGTGAGCCACCTGCAGACTTTAGAATGACCCCTCCAAGTGTAAGAAATCTGAGAATAGTCTAGATATAGGATCTGGATTTTCTTTGCTTAATCACCCATTTCTTAGCTTTACCAACAAATACTGGGAAAGCCATCAGAAATATGTGTAGAGAAAGAGGCACCTGCCTCTAATACCAGCAACTTGGGAGGCTAAGGCAAGAGGATTACTAGTTCAAGGTCAGCCTGGGCCATTTGGTGAGAACCTGCTGAAAAAAGGAGGGGGGTGGTGAAGAGGACAAAGAGGAAGGGAGAGGAGAAAAAGATGCTTAGGAAGACACCAGCTTGATCTTTGACCTTGGACAAGTCACTGGTCCTCAGATTCACTATCTGAGGAGGACATGGTTTATCTAGACTCTTCAAGTTCTAAAGTAAGAGGATTCTTCTAGATCAGGGGTTGGCAAACTATGGCTCATGAACCATATCTGAYCAATGCTCTGGTTTTACAAGCACAGTGTTATTGGAAAATAGCTAAGCTCATTCATTTATGTGTTGATATGTCTGATTTCATGTTAAAAAGTGTAGCAGTTGCAACAGAGACTACACAGGCCACAAAGCCTGAAATAGTTTCTATTTGGCCTTKGCTGCTTAAGTTTCTGGCACCTGTTCTAGACCAATTTTGGGGAAATGAGACAGGTGATTTCTGTTTCAATAACTTCAGGTTAAAGTCAGTTGTCATTTTTCAGTATCCCCCAAAACATGTTGTTTGGACAATTGTCTGGTCATGCCTAGKACTGTCTGAGCATTGCTGTTCTTTGGTTTCTCATTCTTCAGGTTTAAATTCTGTGGCTTGGTTCAGTTTCCAAATTGTGATTAGTGAGGACCTGAAGTCAGGGTAGCACTGACTTGGTCCTTAGGTAGACAATATGGCTGGAAGCCAGTGCTTATTTGAACCTGGGCTTCTCAGAGAAGCCTGAAATTGTGTCCAAAAATTTCCCAGAGTATCTTTCACAAAGATCAAGTTCATAAAAAATATTCTACATCTGAGGTAGGATGAGCAGGAAGAAAAGAACAGGATGGAACTGAGGCAATGTATTAGGGTCTCTGCCTACTAGCTCTTGTGACTGAGGTTTTAAGTGCATGGTTCATATGCAAAGAAACTCAATGTCTTTATGCCTATTTCCCTTTCCCACCAGACAACTTACTACCATGCTCCACAACTGTTAYGTGCCCTCAGAGAGGAGTCACCAAGGTTTGGGAGTGCTGGTCTCTGATGAAGAAAGGGTACCTACCGCTGGAATTCACTTGTGGTGTAGGTGTAGAACCAGTGTTGGGGGG